CCGCCCCCCCCCCCCCCCAGCTCTCAGCGCCTCGGCACCTGTCCACAACTACCGCTGTGGCTCCCCACGCTTCTCGCACCTGCACCAACCCAGAGACGGCATGACATGACGTAGAGGGCGGAACAAGACACCCCGCCCCCACCAACAAACAAAAACAAACACACACACACAGAGAGAGAGAGAGAGCGAGGGAGAGAGAGAGAGAGAGAGAGGGAGAGACTTTGCACACTCGCGCGTGCACAGTCATCTTTTGTCGCTGCGCAGTCGGAGAGAGTGCTACACACTTTTCGTGGCTCCTCCTTCTAAAGCATGCGCTCCTGACCTCATTTGGAGGCCAACTGGAACTTGAAACCCGGGACACTGCATACAGCTCTAAATCGATCACTGGGGACGCGAGGGGACGCCCCTTGCCTGGAGCAAAGATCCGAGCTGCAGCGAACTTCGGAGAGCTGCGGAGAGCTGAGCAGGGCGGAGCAGGGCGGAGAGCAGAGCCGAGGCGATGGCACATCCAGCATCCGCAAAGTACCTCAAGCTCAGAGAGAGCCAGAGCTCCAGAGACCTCTAGAGACAGGCCCCCGCTTCGACCTCAACCTTTGGTCCAAACGCAAAACTCTGCACCGAAGCAGCCGACCTCCACGGAACCACACAAACGGTGTAGCAAGGGCAATGCTTTACCCGATCTTTCCCGCTCCTTCCAACCACCACCAGGGCTCCAGTCATTGGTCCCGATCTTTATCGCGACCTCGGCTGAAGCAGGGTGAGACAAGAAGTGACTGCACAAAAAGCATCATCAATATTCCAAATGCAAATGCTTGCGAGGACAAGCAAGACGAGCCTTTGAAATCTAAGCGCGGCGCATTTCCGCCAATGGTGGCAGCGTAAAGCCCATGAGCTGGCAGGGAAGGCAATCTCAAAACACAAACCATGTTGAATGTTTCTAGCTGCGAGGGCCATTTTAACGAAAGAAGCATTTCTACGTCCGCTCGGCCGTGGTGCTTCAATATCTCTCTGCACGGCAACACACAGCAACAGACTCAATGCCCGCGACTGCAACTGCGATTTTGATGAAAAAGAAGATTCAAGTTGTGCGCAGCCTATGGCGTAGCCGGGCCTAGAGCATTGCCGGGTCCAGTTGATGCCAACCGTCGTGTGCAGAACTAAGGCTCCTCACTGGAACTTAAGCAAAGGCGGTCCCGCCTGCACAGTGGATGTGCAGCTGGGACGTGGAATGCACGTTCGCATCTCTCCGAACAGCACCTCCGCACATCCGCGGTTCGCTAGCTTCCTTCGTGAGAAGTTCCAGGGAATTCGGGGATGAGACCGGGCACTGGAAGCCCGATCCACTTGGAGGCATGGTGCCTCATGTATAGTGACTCTTAACTGTGCCGAAATCCGTCTTGCAGAGCGGTGTTTCGTGCAACTGGAGGCTGGAGGCCTCTCAGTAACACTCTCAGAAGCGGGTGCGCTGACCACGAGTCAGCAAGGAACTGTGGCTTCGGAGGTTGGGGCTGGTCCGGGGCAAGCAAACCGTGCGGTGTTGCTCCGACCTGCCCCTTTGAGATCATGCCAACATGAGGATTCAGCTGTCAGACAAGCTCCCAAAGGCTCACAAAAGCATCCACCCGGTCCCGGGGCGGACAGAGTTCCAGCAGCTTTTCGCGGACATAGGGTGCCCGGACCTCAGCCAGCGCAGACGCGGAAACACGCAAAAAGACGTAAGTTGCCTCAATTCTCGCTTCACTGGAGAGGAGATTCTGCCGGAGAGCGTAGTCCCAGTGGAAGACGCAGGGCGTGCCCGGGTGCGTCAAGATCAGGGCATAGGCCCGCAGCACCTGCCACGCAGCAGCGACTCGGCCACGGCCGCCGGCGCGGCCATGCGCGGCCCTTCGGCCGGCCTGGTCGTTGTTGCCAAAACATCCCCCGACCTCACAAAAAACGGCACCACACAAACGGCCCAGGGCGTTAACGACTCGAGGCCACGACAATGGCGAGCTGGTAGGTGTCGTGGTTGTCGATGAAGGTACCTCGACGGAGAATGCACCCAACACCCCCGTCAAGCAAGAAGAGGTGTTGTGACGCTAAGGCCCATGCCATGAGTCATGCCGTGGACAGCTAGAGCTGGGCATTGCAAAGTGCTCAAGAACCCTTCGCACAGAGACTCGGGCAAGGACGGATCTCTCTCTTTCGGGAATCTCGAGTAAACGGCATACTTAAACCTGCCCACAAATTTGCTGATTTGGAAGAACCACGGCTGATTGTGAACTCGGGGTGCCTGGGCATGAGTGGAGAACCGTTGGGAGTTCGGCAAACGGAACCCGGGGCCCGGGGCATCAGCATTCTTGCCACGAGGAAGGTCTGCAAAGTAAGTGCGATGTGTCGAAGAGCCGGCACTTGTGATGTCGTCGCTCCACTTCGCTCGTCGACATGGGAAACTTCAACAGACCTTTGAGCTGAAATCTCAAAGCCGACGTCCGATTTCAGCCAGACAGACGAACGGAGCCATGTCTCTTCGGGCACAAGCCGAAGCAACCCCTCCAACCTGCAGTGGCCCGCGAAATTGCTTTGTGCATCGTCTGACTCGTCTGACATTTTGTGGTCCCGCTTTGCGAGGCCTTCGCCAAGAAAACACTGCCCCACAGCATGGAAAGACGAGCTGATTCTTGTTGAATTGCTAGCAGCTGGCATCGGAGCAAATGCAGTACTGGCGGCGGGTGCCCTCCAGTGCGCGGCTTGCGAAAGCGGCCAAACCTCTCTAATTCCACAGAGCCCTCAGGCCGACGCGTTTCTGCAAGTAGGCACAGTTCTCTGCGAACAGCTTCCAGCCACCCCACCGCACCGGTGCTGCACTGCTGCCCCGTTGCCGTGCTCGGCCAACCGCTATATGGGCGCACAGGACCGCGCAGGATCCCGACCCGCGATGCCCGCAAGGCGCCCACCGCAGTTCAGCTCCTTCCGCGTGCGGCAGCATGCGGAAAGAGGAAGCAGTCGGAAGCCCCCCCTGGGGCGGAGTGGGCCTCAAAGTTGTTGCTGTGGATGCAGCGCTTCAGGACGTAGTACAACCTCGAAGCGGAAGGCGACTGCGGGGCTCGCGGCGGCGAACGCGAAATCGCGCACTCACTCCGCCAAAAAGCGGGAAGTCGTAGACGGCCATCTTGCCCTGACACTCTCGAACATAGTCGTGCAGCCTCGGAATTCCGGCGAATGGAGTGAGCGAGAGAAACAACAGCATGGAGCACGGGTTTTCTGTGTCGGCTGAGGATCTGAGACCTTCTCAGACCTTGACCCATTCACGTCACCGTTCCAGTTCTCGGCAACGGCAAAGGGCTCCCCCGCTGCCTTCACGTAGTCCTGATGCCGGGACACAACTGCGCTGTCGGCTAGTCCAAGTCGACAAAGCGGGGCCCCTGCCGTCTGGAAGCGAGGCGCGTAGCCCTTGACGAAGTCGAAGCGCAGTGCGCGGAAGCCGATCTGGCCATTTCACTGAAGCTGACACGTGTTTCAGCCCGCAGCCCACTGATGCCCGCGGCCTCGTCCATCAAGTAGCGGATGTACTCGTTCACGTCGGAGCGGATGCGAGGATTGGAGTGGTCCACGCTCGGCGCGTACCTCCCAGAGACTGGCACCGCTCTTTCAGCAGCCACCGACACAGCAACTCCCGGAGGGCCGTGCCGGGAATTTCGTGTAGGGGCGCACGCGGCCGGCTCGCCGGTGGTGTGGGCACCGCTGCCCCCGGGCACCGCCGGCGAGTTGCAGCACACGGCCCAGCCCTCCCAGTCCGGCTCCTGGCGACAAAGCCTCGCCAATTTGGGGCCTAGGCCGAACGGCTCCGCACCTCGAACTTCAGCCAGCGCCCTGCGGAGTCCTCGGCTCTCCACTGCAAGCCGCTTCGCCGCCCGAAGCCGCCGCCCGCTCTGCCGCCCGCTCTGCTCGCGCCTGCAAGGAGGCGCAGCGGTGGTTCACGACGACGTCCAACATGGGCACGATGTCCTGCCAGCGAGCGGCACCGGTTTTGGCATCCAATCCGTTCAGCGGTGCGCGCGGCGCGCCTGCTCGTGCATGCTGCCGATCAGGTGCTGCAGCTCCTGCACAGCAAACTGCACGGCAAGGCCCCGATCGGGGCACACACCGGCTGATGTTCCTCGGCAGTGCCGTAGTTGTTGTCCAAGACCTCGCAGAGAAGGGCAGAGGCACAGATCCACAGATCTCTCTCGTCTCGTCTCTGCAGAGGCTCAGAAACGAGGCCGTCACGTACCACTTCCTGCAGGGACTTTCCCGAGGCTCCTAAAGGCCTAATTGGAGTTGGCTGTCCGGCTGTCCTGGGCAAGTAGCCGTGGTCATCCACCGAGTCCGAGGGCGGCGGGAGCCTGAGCAGAGACGAGACTGCGCCGCATCTTTCTGAACTCTCTCCAAGGAAAAAGTGCGCAGAAAACGGGGCCCGGGCCAGCACATGTTGATGCCTTTGCAGTCTATATATCCATATATCCAGATATATCCATATATCTATGTATATCTATGTATATCTATGTATATCTATGTATATCTATCTATCTATCTATCTATCTATCTAACGATCGATCGATCTATCTATTTATCTATCTGAGTCTATCTATCTATACAAATAAACCAATAAATATGTACATATATATATACTATGTTATATTGTATTATATTATCTTATCTTATCTTATCTTATCTTATATTTTATGATATATATATATATATTAACTAATTAATTATGCCCTAAAAGGCTGCAGCACGCTGCTGCTGCGGCCCTGCAGAGGCCGCACCCTGCAGAGAGGACGGCCGGAGCTTGGCTCCGAGCCAGCGCTGCGCAGCTCCGGCAGCAGGCCCAAGAGCACATTGTACCAGGAGGGAGCCTATCTGAACCGAAGGCTCGCTCTGTGCGGCTCTGGCTCGGCCCGGCCTTGTGGCTTCCCCAGTCGAAGGCCTGGAACATGATGATGCACCTGCCCGGCACTGCCATGCTGCCCGGGTGCCCCCCCCCCCCCCAAACCTGCCGCACCTCTGCTCGCCCAGCTTCGGTGGGTCCAGGAAGGCCGTTGCGCGAACCTCCGAGCGAGGCAGCGAGGGGGCGGGGACATGCGGCGGGGACACATGCCCGTGCGAGCGCGTCGTGGCTCAAAGACCGCTTGAAACCTGCCTGCGCCGGTTCGCTCGCAGGGCCAATCACGTCCGGGAGGACGTTGTCCTGCAAAGCTCGCTACTTTGGGCAGACAGCATGGGGCTTTACTTGATCAGAAGACTCTACAAGGAGCAGAGCTGTCCAGGAACTGCGAGCCACAGCGCCTGAACCAGAGCAGAGTAGCAGCAGACTGGAAGCTGCTACAAATGCTCTTGACTCTGCATGCATGTTCCCTATCATTCGTGCTTTCTTGAGGCAGATGCTGGACCACACCGCCCTGCTTGAGTTGCGTGGCACGCTCTGGGCCCAGCTGCACCGCCCGCACCTGCGAGCAATTCGAGTTCAGGACAGACAGTTCATCCCCCGTCAAACGCATGGCAAAGCAGAAATATATAGCTGTGCAAGTCTGCTGGCACTGCTGTCGCGAGGCTTGGGGTGATGCTCACGGACGGCGGGGAACACAAAGGGTGCAGACTTTCGGTACGAGACAGGCTGCAATTCCAGGAGTGTCATGCGGCACAATCAACCTGTGTGGGGTGTCAAGACCCTCAGCTGCGACTGTCCTGCATTCCCCACCCGAACCTCGGGATCCCCCGCCCCCGGCGTTTACAGGCGAGGATCGGAAGGAGGCCGGGGATCGCAAGGCAACCAACAGTTATATGCATTCTTTGTAGAACACCGTTTTACAAACTAGTTGGTACTGGTGCGTGCATGCAATGCATTGGAAGACATGGCACAACAAAACCATGGAACGGCCACCTACGCTGAACTCCCTATCAAGCCCTCAACCCTGAACTTACGGCTGCTTGGCGCCCTGTCGGACCCTTCCGGTCTTGAACAAGCTCCCCTAAATTGTGTTGCCGGGCACGATCGTCGACCATTATGCACACGGCCGTGTCCCAATCGCCTGGTAGGAGTAGCATTCGCCAAGCTGCACGCCAGTGTCCGTCCAGGCCATTCCGTCCTGAGCAACCGCGCATGCGCACGCGCTCTAAGCAAAACACAAGTTGTTCTGCACGGCACACATGTGCAAAACGCACACACACACACACACACTCTTACTCTTTTGATAGACCCCCCATTGGCCGAAACTAAACATGGGATGGGTTAGTACTTATCCCTAGCATCGCAGCCTAATGCATCTTCGGAATTGACATCGGCTTCACTCTGCACAATGCAGCTACACAATCTGGCGTCCC